GGGGGGGCGGGGGGTTAAACGGTTTTATAGGGTTCAAGTTAAGCGGTATCGCCGCTCCAGTATTTGCTATGATTAGCCAAAATTAATATTTATAACACCGATATGCGATTCAAATCAAATTATATATTTTCCGTTAAATCCCCTGCTAAATCTAGAAATATACAAAAACTCTCGACGGTTTTCATAACCATAAGGAACTAACGTCATTGGCAAGATCGATCTGAATATCTACAACAAGAACATTTATAATTGCTACCGAATTTCTATGAAATTGGCAAAAAAAATGAAATTTGGTGTGATATATTGCTAATGCGTATGTCTTTTGAGATTATAAGATTGACACTAAGTACGTCTGCAACAATAAAAATGGCGAATATGACCTTGTGGGTCGGTTTTATAGGGTTCAAGTTAAGCGGTATCGCCGCTCCAGTATTTGCTATGCTTAGCCAAAATTAATATTTATAACACCGATATGCGATTCAAATCAAATTATATATTTTCCGTTAAAATCCCCTGCTAAATCTAGAAATATACAAAAACTCTCGACGGTTTTCATAACCATAAGGAACTAACGTCATTGGCAAGATCGATCTGAATATCTACAACAAGAACATTTATAATTGCTACCGAATTTCTATGAAATAAACGGTTTTATAGGGTTCAAGTTAAGCGGTATCGCCGCTCCAGTATTTGCTATGCTTAGCCAAAATTAATATTTATAACACCGATATGCGATTCAAATCAAATTATATATTTTCCGTTAAAATCCCCTGCTAAATCTAGAAATATACAAAAACTCTCGACGGTTTTCATAACCATAAGGAACTAACGTCATTGGCAAGATCGATCTGAATATCTACAACAAGAACATTTATAATTGCTACCGAATTTCTATGAAATTGGCAAAAAAAATGAAATTTGGTGTGATATATTGCTAATGCGTATGTCTTTTGAGATTATAAGATTGACACTAAGTACGTCTGCAACAATAAAAATGGCGAATATGACCTTGTGGGTCTTGGCAGTTCTGTGTATTTTTTTATGAATTGTATTGTATTGTGTACAAATTGTATGTATTTTTTATATTAAGCCCTACAAATAGATAAAATTGACTTTTTGATTTTCTTGTTTTGTAACAGCTGTATTGGCCTATAGACACCAATCTTATTAATATTACAGTACAACTTCGTCCTCTAGAAGGTCTATATTCTTAGATTACCGTTGTCTTTCTTTCCAACTATCGTCCCCGACTGCTAATGGTTTAGGAAGGTGACCCCTATCCCCACCCAACCTCTAAAATTACGTTTCGTTTTTTTTTGGGGGGGGGGGGGCAGGTGGGGTGCTCTTATTTTTAATATAGCAACTTCAGTTAGTATCTTTATAACAACAACCCTCTTGATCGTTCGTCAAATTAACCTTTTGACCTAACTCAATGACACAAGCCAATCCTATTTCTACCCTCTCTCGCTGGCATTTTGCTGCGCAGTGCTTATCAGGTTAGGTCAAATGGTTAATTCAACGAACGTTCAAGAGGGCTATCGTTAGACCCTAGCTGAAAAATAAAATATTTCATTTTAAGAAAGATAATTATATTTATTTAAAGAATACTACCACCCAAAAAGAACATCTAAAAGTTTAAGTCTCAAACTTGGTCAATAAGAGTATGAACTATTGAAAAACGCTTCTAAGCATGTTTCAAAATTACTTAGTTTAATGCATGATTACTTAGTTTTATGGATTTTATTAGATTATAAAGGGGTTCCGGCATATAGTTTTGGCCAAGTTAAAAATAAATTCTATTTTCTGGTCATCCACATATCTCCCGGACAGAGTTCTTTTTCTGATAGAAGCAGAGAGAATTCTAGGGCTTGCAATTATAGTGAATCCGTTATAGTCTGTTGCAATATCATTAAAACACAGTTATCTCCTATTAAGGAGTCACATGATAGGGATGGCGAAATTGACCAATTGGAATATCCCAATTGCCGGGACATTGACGTGGCATGTGGAGTTAGTAATAGAAATTTCTTTCACAGGCCGCCATTTTGGCTAGAAAATCGTTGAAAGTGTTATCAAATTTTTGTAAGTTTCTGGCTTGGATGTTAGAAAACACGTGAATATTTTTAGCTGAAGCTACGAAAAGTGTGTCAACTAGAGTTTTATAGAATTGCAGGTGAATATATTTGACATGATCACAGTTATTGCCATTTCTATTTCGGCATTTTTTGTGAAGCTAGCTTCCGCTTTTATTTGCTCATTTTCAGACTAATTTTCACAGATTTGGGATTCTTTTTGAAGGTTATTTCAGTTTTAAACAGGCAGTAGATATTTCGTACGATTATTTTGATGTTATTTGTTTGTACATTATTTTCGTTACCTGTTTTGTCAGATAGGTAATGTAAACGGACATACGGGCCGGGGTTTGAGGGAAAAGGGGTGGTAGCAAACGAGTCTTTTGTTGGCTGGCTTTGCCCTTTCATTTGCTAATATTTCTTTATTGAATGGCCTTTCGACATTTTGAAGCAATGTATGTGATTAAAAGGTTGGTGAAAGAGTAAATGTTTTAGGCCCAGCTAAGTATAGTCCAAGGTGTGATTAATCTAGTTAATTCGAAAATTCTCCCCATGTGCAGGCTACCCCACAATATCATATGGGAGCCGGTGGTCCCCATCAGCAGGTATTTTCCATTTCCTCTACTTATTTAGGCCATGACTACTCTCATTATGACTATAGAAGCTCACACTGTTCATCCCTACATATCCTTTACAAAAATGACTTCCTCGCATTCTTGACGATCAAAATTCAAATTGGTTTCTCTCACACTCAAGACAAAAAAATTGCACAGACACGATGACAAACCAATGCACAACATAGATGAAGGTATCAACAGTAACATAGTGCATTATTTTATGTGTTAAGTCTGGCATTAGATCCAGGGGATTATAACTAAGGCTGGTTTGGTTGTGTCCTGGGTCAGAAATTTGTAATTGTCCTTCTGAAAAATACCTAATAAAATGTGACAATAAAATATTTGTAGATTGTTAAAGAACTGCAATCATGGGTTCAGCTATTGCCAAGTTATTTGGCCAGCTGCTTGGTAAGAAAGAGATGAGAATATTAATGGTCGGTCTGGATGCTGCTGGTAAAACAACTATATTATACAAGTTAAAATTAGGAGAAATAGTCACTACAATTCCAACTATAGGTAAGTTAACAGAAAGAGGCTGAAATAGACAGTATTCTGGAAAACTTAAATAAGATCAAATCCAGATTTCAAGAAATACAGTAATCTGATTGGATAATAAACTAAATTTAAAAGTGACTGACCAATCAGATGATTGCAACACTAAAATAATCTTGAGTTCACTTTTCCAGAGTAAGGCCCCAGTGTAATTTTCCAGAGTTATTGACTGGTTTGGCACTAATGAGTTTAAGACTATTTCAGTGCATTATTAAGTGGTAAAAACTATCCAGCTATGTAATTGCTCAGAATGTAATGTGTCCACCTCTCCCCAATAAGCTTGTGACATGATGGATGCCTCAGGTTGTCAGAATTTATCAAATTTTGTGTGAAGGTTTTTATTCACAACTTCTGCTGCCCTGACATAAGTGTCCTGTGAATGTAACTAATTGCGTGATTCTCCTCACTCTTACCTCCCATTCGCCCACGTCATCAGTTATGGATCTTTGTGACTCTCTTCCCATTCTTGGTGGCATAATTTTGTCCTAATGATCTAACAAAGCTTGGATTGAATAGTTTATAAATTCTAGCTCAGACTGTGTCATTCTATGCCAGCAAGAACCGCAGCCACTATCATCCCCTTATTAATATTGTGTTGTCTGTTTCAGGTTTTAATGTAGAAACAGTAGAATATAAAAATATCAGTTTCACAGTATGGGATGTTGGAGGACAAGATAAGATTAGACCATTGTGGAGACATTATTTCCAAAACACTCAAGGTAATTTCGCAATTATTTTGTATATAGAAAACTACCATTATGACAAGATTCAGCTCCCTACAAAGTGGTTGGTAATGGCACATTTTTGACTGGCTGTGGTACAGTAATTTACTTGCCTTGAGCATTCAATACCACAGCATCTGATCACCCAGCAGATGAAAGTTCAACTCAAGACATGCTGAACCATTCAACTGCAAAATCATGTCGAATACAAAGTTTATTATTGCTTTGGGTCTTGCAAATCTGGACAACCCAAGTACTCTAGTTCTGACAAAATCGAACACAAGTACTGTCTCTCAAAAAATCTTTTGTGCCATTTGTTAAAATTAAAATTAGACCATACTTTCATTTCATTCATTTATTAGCTTTTATTTTTGATATAGCCACTTCAGTTAGGATCTAGCGACAGTCTCAGTGACTAATCGTCAAATTAACCTTTTGACACTGCATTAACCAATCAAATTTCTACCTTCTCCTGCGCTGGAAGTTAGTGACACGAGTGTTTTATAAGGTTAGGTTGATTTGACAAACTTTCAAGAGGACTGTCTTAAGACCCGAACTGAAGTGGCTATATTTAGAAAAAAAGCTAGTAAAGAAATGGAACGAAACTTTGATTTGATTTTAATTAAACTGGCCACTTACATATCTTTGTATATTAAAAAAAAAAGCTCAATGAAAAAGAGAGGAAGTAACCATTTTTGTTCTGCCCCCCTAGTGTGGCAATAGTTTGACACCAGCTGTTGTTTTTAATGTCATCTTTTGTTTCACTGTGGATAATCAACGTTTTATCGATGTTGAATTAGTTCTATTGTCTCTTGAATGAATGAATTTTATTAGATGTATAGACAATTTACATTGATTATTTTTGAGGGATGTAATCATAGGAAAATATGAATATACCAGGTGAAAGAGCTCAATATCAGCTCTCAGTATATAATCTGATGGAATCACTAAGCTCAATTCAGGTGTCTGTGTAGATATCTAAATATCTCATTTTGGTCAATTCAGCTATCTGTTTATATTTAGTCTTAATATTAACTTAACCAGTTGATAGAGCTCAATTCAGTTGTCTGTATATATATATTGTCATCTAAATATTTTCTTTACCAGCTGATAGAGCTTGATTCAGCTGTCTGTATACATATTCTAAATATTTAATTAACTAGCTGTTAGAGCTCGATTTTAGCTATCCATGGAGTCATCTAAATATTTCCTTAACCAACTGATAAAGCTAAATTTGAGCTATCAGTAGAATCATTTAAATATTTGCCGCATTAGCTGATAAAGCTCAATTTAGCCTTTCATCTGTATACATTTAGTTGTCAATATATTTACTTAACTAGCTGATAGAGCTCAATTCGAGCAATTTGTAGAGTCATCTGAATATTTACTATACCATATTATAGAGCTCAATTCAGCTATCTGTAAACTTGTTTAATTGTTTAGTATACAAGCTAATAAAGCTCAATTCAGCTATCTGTATTGTCATCTACATAATTTACTTGTCAAACTACTGCTTGTCATATTTTTGTTGAAGGATTAAATATATCAAATTTGTTTTTCAGGTTTAATTTTTGTGATAGACAGTAATGATAGAGAGAGAGTAGGAGAGGCAAGGGAGGAATTGAATAGAATGTTAAGTGAGGATGAATTAAGAGATGCAGTATTGTTAATATTTGCTAACAAACAGGTAAGGTCTTAAATTGTTTTCTTGTCCAATTCTCTAAAGCACTGGTCATGGCATCAGAAATGTTATGTGAATTAAAAATGCAGGGTTATAAATATTGTAATGACTGCTGTTGCAAAGTCAGAATTATGGTACCTTGGTATGCTATTTATACGCCCACATTATATTTATCGGATTAAAGAGATCGTAAAGAGGTTTCTAAAATTTGTATATGTATCTTGGATACCGATTGAAATTCAACTAAAACTAAGAAAAAAATATGCTTGTATCTTATAAGGCATTCGAGATAATTGATGTCATAAAGCCCTTGGTTTTAATGGAATTGCAGGAACCACAGACTAACTTTAGTTTAGATACCAATAGGATAGACAAGGAGGGGGGATATTGTAGGAAAAAGTCAGTTTAATTTTTCACCAGTCCAATATGGAAAAGATCAGTAGGATATTAAATTGTTTTCTTTTATTTCAGGATCTACCAAACGCTATGAATGCTGCCGAAATTACAGATAAATTAGGACTACATTCATTACGTGGACGAACTTGGTACATTCAGGCAACGTGTGCTACCAGCGGTGATGGCCTCTACGAGGGTTTAGATTGGTTGTCGGGTCAGTTAAAGGGGGGTAATAGGAAAAACTGAGCTTATGATAGGACTTGATCAATTGGACATTATACAAATTCTCAAATGTTAAATTATCCTTCATCATCATATTAGACGCCGCTCTGGTATGATGCGTGAATCATGCGACCTAATTTTCTGGAGGGTTATTTCCCCTGTCCAATACGAGCTCTAGCTCGACTGCACTAAGTATTAGCGTATGATAACTTTTATTCAAATAGTGATTGTGAAAATTCGATACTAATGTGCAGTAAGTAAGTGTCGTTTCTGATAAAGTGTATATTCTTTAAATAGTATAAAAGTGGTAGGTTATCTTTTCTGTTATTTTGGGTTTTTGCATTGTTAAAAGTTCAGTTAGTCAATTTTGGCTGTTTTTGTCTTGGAAGTAAAGTGACCAGCTCAGTTTTCGAAGATTTTTAATTCTCCAAACAATTTCTTGCAGGGTTTGGTTTCATCAAAATATAGGTTTTTTTGTGTTTTATTTTTTTTATTTTTATTTTTTTTTTGGACGAGTGAATGACCATCATTCAAAATGCCTGTTTGTGTACACGATTAATGTCAAATTCACTACTATTTTATCAAATAACTTATTGTTGTAATAAATGAAAATTCACAATAATCAATTTAGAATGCTAGTTATCCCCCCTTATATCCTGAGTTGCGATTGTCAGTAACAGATTTTTATCAGGCATTAATTTGGAAGAATTTCAAAGGAAAAGTGTACAAAAGATTCAACCATTCATGACAAATTTCAAGTTTCTGTTGTTTGATAACTCCAGTGTGCTTTGGCTTTTGGCTGAATTGGTTAAATAATCTGAAATTGTAGGTAAACAACTTGTGTTGAGGTGCAGATAATCTTCCAGATTAGTGTTGGATAAAAAAAAAAGTCCTTTAATGCAGGGCTGAAAATAATTTAGCAGACATTCAACACCAAATTATTAAAATGAACTATTCCCACATAATATCTTAATCATTGAAAGTATGCATGTGTGAAAGAGTTCATTATAGAGGTTAGGGGTCAAACATGACTGACAAACTATTTTCAGCCTTGCTTCTATATATATATATATATGAAATGTTGCATCAGCAGAGAAAGGAAAAGTTTTATAAAATTGTACATGTATATCATTTTGCGTGGAGAACGTTCTTGGGTGTAAATATATATTTTTTCTTGTTGTAGCAATTGTATGAATATCTCTTGTTTATTTTCATTTCCGAGTTTCTGTAATCATCACAAAGTTTCTTTCCTAATTAATAATTAAAATTCTTGATGAGCATTTCAATTTGAAATTTAAAGAAAAAAAAAACAGTAAAAATAACTAAAGACTGGTATTGATTATGCATTGTCTAAATTGGCTGACTCCTGCTTAGCCTCTGATAACTAAATTTGACAGTTATCAAATTGCTAGGAATTTGCTGACCTTACCTAGCCACATATAGCTCTGATGAATAGTTGTCGACAAGCTAACAGCAAAAGATTGCTATCAGAGATTAGTTCTGAGTCCTCAGACTTGAGATCATGGAGTCACTTCTTTGATACAGGAATGGACTTGCTAATCATATCCCCAACAGAATGCAAGTGGGCACAAGTTGTTCGACTGAAGTCAAGCCACAGCAGGGCAGTGTGAGACAATTTGCATTGATAAAAGACCTGGCTTGAAAATTTCTATAGTGCTTTTGGGGGAAGATATTCAAGCATTCCATATATGAAATTAACTTATTTTATCAGCACAGTGCTTATTTCATCTTACAAATCGCTAATAATAGGTCCAGCATTTGAATGTTAAATTTAATGTTACCACCCCTTCTTGCTTTTGAACTCTTGACTCGTGCAGACATCAATTCAAACTGACAAGCATTTGAAAAGTTAGCGAACATAAAATTTTATATGTGATGAGCTCATATAGGAAAAGGGGGTGTGGACACACTAAATTTAGTCTTGCACTTGTCTGATATGCTTCAAAGTCGCCATTTTCTCGAGTGAATCCGAGGGTTGTATAAACTTGAAAACTATGTTTGTTGTAATTTTTAGGGTGTTATGTTACTACACTGAACAAAATAATTTGACTAATTATCCTCATATTATTATTATGGTCTTTTTATGTAATAAAGAATCTAAATTAAGTATTTCTCTGCTATTTTGATATTTGGCCCCTGCCTTTTTTGCCTTCTTTGGGTTTGTCCTCCACCTGCATTAAGGATACACTACTACCTCTAAGGATGACCAAAACTTAGAAATTTTTAAACTTGTTCAAAATGAGTCTTTGTTCATCGGTGGACTTGCCTGGTGTTATAACTATACAACAGAATCTCTCTTTAATCCAATAAATCCATAAAACTAAGTAACAATTCATTCAACTAGGATAAATATAAGTGTCTTTCAATAATTATTTAGTTTAATGGATATATCGTCTTAGAGATTCTATTCCTTCATGGCACCTGATGAATATATACACTTGTAACTTGTTAACCAAGTTTGAGACTTATAATTTTATGTCCATACTAAGAGGTAGTATTCCGATATTTATTTGTAGCCCTAACTTCTTTCTTTGTTCATTTGGAAGTGAGTTATCCGCCCTTAGTGAACTCTTCAATTTTTGAGGTGATCGCAGAAATGCAGACGGGAGAAGAAAAAAAATGGCGAACGCAACAGGTGTCCGGATTAACGGCCTGATGCCCAGTTTATTCCTAGTGAAAATTGAGTTGAAATGCGACTCAAGTGAAAAGACTTTAAAATGCGACTAAAAACCGGCCTACTAAGAATTGATGTTTCAAAACCAGAGATGAAGTGTCAAGATCCCTGAAAATGTTTTCAAGCAGGTAAGACCATATGACATTTTATGCAAGTGGGAAAGGCGTAAATTCTCTGTAGATTAGACCTTTGGCCCCATTTGTCGGCCTTGATCGGACTTTGGCTCTGGGTCAAGGCGACGATTGCACGTGTTGTATCGTAAAAAGCGATCGGCGTATAGTGAACATGAACTTTTTCCCCGCCATTTTCCTGGAGGCCATTTGCGATATGATTGGCTGTCATGAACTACATACAATCATTACGGACTATTGGTGGGTAGTGAATACGTAGTAAAAATCACAGTGCATGACGTGGACTAGTGATTTTCATGCTGGGTGAAGATCCAGTGGCGGAGCCAAAGGGGGGCAGAGGGGGCAGATTAAACATATTAAGGCTAATGTTTTGATGACATGCACGGTTCAAAACCATACCATCACCTACGCAAATGCCAGTAATGGTCCCATTCTGGATTTTGGAGGTGAACAGGTCTTATCTGGAGTTACTGCCCTTTAATCAGTTTCTTTCCATTTATGATATGAATGTTTTCTGTGCCTCACGTACACGTGATGAGTGAAAACGATTCAAAAACGTCACCTTTTGGTGTTTTATTCTAAAATAACATCTGCACAAAATATAAAACAAACTGATAAAAATATTTTCATTTTAGTTTGTTAATTCTCTTTTGAAATTGGATAAGTAACTTCTTTGTAATTGGATTCCCCCACCCGCACAACCCCTTTCAGACTGCGTAACCTTACACTTCAATATTTTGGCACATCGAATGGAATGGGGTTTTACGCCCCACTGTTTTGCACCTTCAAGGGACAATACAAATCAAATAAATTTGAGTTTATAATATTTTAACTTGGTCAAAATGAGTTTGTTCATCAGTGGACTTGCCTGGTGTTATAACTTTATAACAGAATCTCTCTATAATCCAATGAATCCATAAAACTTAAGTAATAATTCATTCAACTCAATTGATTTAAAATCACCCATACACATCCTCTGGAGTTAAAGCCACTCGACATTCTATGGAATTCGACGGCGATTTCAACATAAATCCATTACCTTGTCTAGATTCTAAATGCACGCGCATTCCTAAACGTTTTTTATCCTCCGAACTATTATCCGAACTGGAATTTAAATTCGGATTTTGCACATCACGTTTCTCCGAGCTTATTGGATTCATTAAATGCCATTGGCTGGGGTTTTTCACGAATTTCGATGACGCTGTTTGCCAATACAGTCTTCGAAATTTTCTGGAATTTGTTTTGAGCTTGTATCTGACCCACATCTTTCGTATTTCGGACTGGACCTGAAACGATAAAGATTTCGAACATTTAAACGAAATTTAGTTTTACGTACTATGTGAAGGGTTCGCCAGTATATTCTTACTGATTGGATTTAGGGAGAAGGTTCACGTTGTTTGATAAATGTCCAAATCCTTGTGTAATTCTTTTTTTTTTTCATGTTTTATTATTATTATTATTATTTTTTTTTTTGAAATTTGTCTTACATCTTGTGCAATTTGGTATCTGGTAAACTAAGTATCTAATCATTAGGCCAGTTAGTAACTATTTTAGCACCCATTTTCACCATCTTTTATAGAAGCAGCATCAGCGAAAATTGGATTGTCGGGTTTGGATAAGTTGGGTATCCATGAGTAGGGTGACGACTTTAGATATATTTTAAGCATAGCTTACCTCTTGATTGAGAAAACAATATAGAAGAGCAACTAAGAACCCCTGAAAAATACAGAATAAGATTGTTTTTAATAACGAGTAACGATAAAATGCTAATAAAAATCCATAAAAATCTAAAATCTCGTTCAAAGAATGGCGAAATCGGGAGTAAAAGTTGTATAGTAATGGACTCCCCCAAAGAGAAGTACCATCAGGTGCGACACTATTATAATGGTAAAATCATGAGATACATGTACAACCAGATCAATACTTGCATAACATAATGTTAACCTTGATTCTGTATTATATTATTTACATTCTGACGAGGAGGTGAATTTGGATTTAAGCTTGCCACATCTGGCTCAAATCCACCGAACATTGGGAGGTAGACTTAAAAATGCACAGCTTGTGACCAACCTTGAGAGATTAATTTAATCCCCCGACAAAGATGTGTAATGGTTTATCCTATGATATGCGAATGGTAACTTTGAAGTTACATTTCTTGAAGGTATTTACTTTTTTCTTTTCTTTAAATCCGAGAAGCTTTCTTTATCAAAGCAAAAGAAGGGGAAAGTACGACCAGTCACTATGTGAGTTTGCCACTGGAGCTGTAAAATGTACCTATAGTTCTGATCCAAAATACACCTAGTGCATGTTTTTCAGACATTGATGGAGAAACCAATTCCACACAATCCACCCCTTCATACGGCACTGGCATACAGTAAAAAGTTATATACAGCATCAAAAGGTCTACCGTGCAAGTTTTGCTAGCGCTCTGTAACATATCACGGTCATTAATGGCAGACATTATTTTCCGAATCTATATCAATATTGTCGCGTAATTCTGGTAATTTAAATATTACAGGAGTACAAATGTTTGTAAACAATGTCAATAAGACAAAAACTTCGTAAGATGTGGATCCAAAATGATACTAACATGTATGATTGGTAAACTGATAGTCACAATGAAATATTAAATGCATAATTTTGTGTCAGAATTATCCAATTTAGTCTATAATAGCTATGCATTATTACTATCACCTGACGAATAAATATGAAATACCGTAAGTAAAGAGTCTCGACCATAGAAGAGACACGACAAAATTCATTATTCATTATCGAGACAGAGACAGCTTTACGGAAACTGCCGAGGATTGCCGAATGATACAGAACTAAATGATATAAAATAACGCCATTATCCCAATGAAAAATCTGTTTGTATAGAGAAAGAATATTTTCTCACCTCAAACGAATTAAAAAACATCTCATAGTATAATCTAACCAGTTCCAGAATGGCTGAAAGGTTGTCAGGGAAACCGATGAACAGCATATAGTGGACACCAAATAAAGGAATCAAAACCAGCGTAGACTTGGCTAATCTTCTGAAATGAAACATTAAACTAAAACAATATTTATTTTAGATGTCGTCTTTCTTGTATACTTGGTTGAAGACAGACTAGGAATTAATGAAGAAAATGACTTGAGTAATACAGGATTATGTCTTCCATTAAAATAGATGGTACGGAATGAAAGTGGAGTTTAAAGGGACAGATGCGCCATTTTTTGACCAATCATACCTTAGTCTCAGAAACGGGATTTTTTGTTCCCAGAATTATCCATATGCATATAAAAGTTAAAAAACGAGTCGTCTCTTCTTGAGACACTGCCATATATAGAAAGAACATCTATACAAATAGGAAAAGAAATTCCTAGATTGAGTTATTTTCGTACATTTCTAGTACTTCTGAAGACTTAATCACAAATATCCAAGACTCAAACCAATCCCCCAAAATGGCACATCTGTCCCTTAAACGTTCCACGTTTTGGAAGATTAACAACGTCATGCAGTTTGCAATGAATGAAATCTTTCCAGGCCATGAAAATATAGATGAAAAAAGCCTACCTGTGCCGACATCTCCGTGATTTAGATGTATTGTAACCTTTTAACTTCGAAAATAATACTCGGACTATGTTTATAAAAAAGGCAAAATTAACCTGAAAAGAATCAAACAATATGTAAATTGAACGATATTCTGGGTCTTCTAAGTTCTCAAACAGTCTACAGTGAATGTTCCACTACAAAAGGAGATCTGATCGAATCTGAAAGCAACTGGGTTTTTTAAGCGACTACTAGCCACTGATGACACCTGGTAGGACCTGTTCATTCGCTGTTGTAGTTAATTGCTGCACAATTATACAGACTCTAAAGAAATTATAGAAACTCAAAGTTTCGAAGACTAGTTGCAATCTTCCGGTCCCTAATTGGATACTTACAATTATAGATATCACAACGGGTGCTCTCATTATCCACAAAAACCCCGGCGAGGGATTAGTGTTCCAGCACCTAGAAATACAAATTGATTGGATTTTTATTTTTATGTCTTGCTGCCCCCTCTAGACCGAGCTATTAATGAAGGAAATGAAATGAAGTTCAACGTCCAGTTTTTTCTGCTTTAGAATTGTTAAATGAAGACTGACATTGCAGTGTGCAATGACGGACATGCAGGTTCGTGGCTACATATTGACAAATGAGGCAAATACTTAATGACGAATTTGGAGGAACTCAGATCCTGCACCTTCATGGGAATGTGACAAAAAAAAAGAAAATTAAAATACGAATGTGATATGATGTCTACGGAAAGGAAGTTAGTGTTTGAAGTCTAACCAGACCGCTCGCCCGGAAATTTTTCACCTAACCACTCTCGGCAGCTCCTTGATCAGATTATTCTGTAAATGAACCCAGCCCTTCTTTTATTGCTGTTAAGTTGAAAATAAATCTTACCTGTTTAAATTAGTAATAGGGTGTATTGAGACGAGTCTCAATAAAGGCACTGACCTAGGTCACAGAGAAATGGATAAGCTTATTAATTATAGCGAAAAACATGATCAAAATCCTGATCTATACTTACAACGTATCTTCCAACAGCGCTCGAACGACAACCCACGGAATCACAAATATCAAGGGACTTACTGGAAATTTATTAAAAGAAAACATAAGGGATATAGTCGTTTAATTATTTACCATATCATCTTATAGAACTCAATTCCAAATACTTATAATCTGAGTATAATTTATGAATAAGTAGTTTTGGGCACTGTTGCGCTTAGTCAGGCCCGCAGCCAGACTTGATTGTATGGAGGGGGTGATTAATATATCTGCAGAGGTAATTATGTATGGTGTTTTGTTGCAGTAATGGAATTGGTCATTCTAATTAAAAAAAGACCAAACTTCCCTTCCCTTTTATATTACCCTTTATAGCCACTTCAGTAAGGGTCTAGCGACGGGTCTAATGTTCGATTGAACATTCATCAAATTACTCTTTTGACCTAACCTCGTACGCTCCATGGCATTAATCTAGTCTGCTGAGATATCGGAATTTGCTGGATGCGGACGTTAACTTGTCATCTGCCAACTAACCAACCTTTAGTAATTTGACCATTGGACGCTACTGGAGTTTCAGAGCACCGGTACATTGCCGTAAGGAAATACAGTAATCTGATTAGTCTTATTGGAGAGGTTTTGATCAACACAAAACTGGGACACTAAACCATCAAAGGGTAATCAATGCAATATTCTAATTGATTGATAAAACTGAAAGAGCTGAAAGCTGGTGACTCTCAACGGTAGTGGACGAGGCATGGGTAATTATAAATCATACTCACACCAACCCAAGCCGATATACCATTTAATTCTATTTTTCTCTGAAAATACGGCCACTATGATTAGAGTGTGTAGATTCAGTCCTTCGATAAACAACCAAAAATAGTTGGCCAATAAAACGTAGTGGAACATTGCTAGTAGTAGTTTGCATTGCCAGTGCTGAAACGAAATGAAATGAAACGAAATGAATTGAGAGGTACTTAATGAAATGAAATGAATTAAAACTGAACTGAAATAGTTAGCTAATAAAACATAGTGGAACATTGTTAGTAGGAGCTTACATTGCCAGTGCTGAAACGAAATGAAATAAAACGAAACGAAATGAGAGGTACTTAATGAAATGAAATGGATTAAAAATAAAATGAAATAGCTGGCTAGTGGAATATTGTTAGTAGGAGCTTACATTGCCTGTGCTGAAACGAAAAGAAATTAAACGAATTGAGTGTTATCTAATGCTATGAAATGAAATGAAATGGGAAATTAAATGAAATAGTTGGCTAATAAAACATAGTGGGATATTGTTAGCAGGAGCTTACATTCCCGGTGCTGAAACGAAGTCAAGAGGGTGGCGTAGAGAGCTCCGGGCAGTCGTGACGCAAGGGATAAATCTCGTGACTGAATCGTAAACCTTGATATCGTTTTTGACACCCCGACTTTTCCCATATCTTCCAATGTGGTAGTGGTTGTGGAGCAGCCATATTGCGTACAGATGTGTATTGGATGCAGACACTGATATACAGCTGTGTTTTTTTCGTTTTTAAAGCCGTCGGTCTATTTTGGGGTTGAATAGAACGTCCCCTGCTATAGAACAAGCTATACGAACTTCAACACTTTTAACATTAGCCGATTTATTTGTGAATTGGAATTGGACAAGATAAGCCAAATTTTCATTAATGATAGTCGTAAAATGATATATGCCCACGAAAGTGACAACTAGACGAAGAATATACTTACAATTCCTCCCTCCTTAAAAGACAATGTTCCTAAAGACGAGGTTGCCACATCATCGGGAAGACCTAGACCCTCCACCATTAAACCGTCCTTTATAAACGACAGAGCACCACGGAATATGAATGACATGAACAGATTCAGGTGGACTATATTTCTTGGGCACCGCAAGCGTCTGCAAAGAAGACAATGCAATTAAAATTCGATTCAATACTTATCCAAGGATTCTTGTCAACAAGGCAGGGAAGGACCAAAACAAATCTACATCGGGTACATGTTTAACTCTGGATGGACATCCTTATGTAAAAGGAATATACAGGGAATAAATATACAATGTATTCCTATTCTGATTCTGAACTAGTGTTTTTATGACTCTAGCTGGCCTACATCTGTCAAACAGGTTCTTGGTGAATATATATACTTGTTATACTGTAATAAATAGTATTCTACAAGTTTTATTTGCAATTGTACATGGATGCAGTGTAATAGATCACTATTGGGGTAAAGATGGGTAACAACCTCATGAAGTGTGCAATGAGGTAAATGTTCTGTTCCAATACTAATATTTACCTGAAGTACATCATAATCAGAAAGGCAGCAGTTAAAGCTATGATTGAAACTCCGTAGCCAATATGATACATTAACTCAAGTCGCTCGAGATGATCCTGAAAACAGAGTGGTAAATGTAGTATTACATATGATAACTCTTTTACCCTTTCGGGAATTCTGGAGTGTATGTCCTTGTTCTTAGCAAAGGGTTCCAGTTTTCGTCTGTTTACACTCTACAAGGCACAGTTCGTGAGATATTTGGAGGAAATTTGGTGAATCAATTATCACCATGGAACAGCTCAATCGAAAAAAACGTTCTGAAAGAAATGTACGACCTCACTAAGGTTGAACATTTCATGGTTGTAATGATTGCCACCTTGCCAAATGTTCTAATTAAAACAAAGCTATCCATGGGAATATTTTACCTTTCCTGGCAACCTACTTTGATTAATGGACTTGTTTTTGTAGCCTTTTGTGAGATTTCAAGATATGAACTTTACGAAAGCGTTGGTTAACCGGTTAACCTGACTTGCGACTCTTACTAAAAGGCATCGCAATGAAACTTGAACAATAACGTTTAGAACTCATTTAGCAGGATGAAGTTCATAGAGTTGCCTCCCCTTACCTGAAGGAGAAGCCCCGGGTGTGTAGGATTCTGTAATATTTGTGGGGTACAGGCACTGTAATTTGTCCAAGATGTGTTGAACTCAGGGTGAACAAACCATTCACCATTCGACATACACTTTCTCGTCGCCAAGCCTGCAAAACATAAACAAATAGCGATCAAAAACAAGTTTACACCACGAGAGAGATATGGTGAGTCTTTACTTCACAATCTCTTAGCTGGTTAGCTGAATGTAATCTCTTAGATCCGATTCTATTTAGATTGGGAAAAAGCGCAGACCATTCGGCAGCTCATGGTATTTACCGCAAACCTGAATCCACAGAGGATATATACAGTTGAAAGTTCATGGTGGATTTTTTGAGCGCAGAACAGTGGCGAAGTTTAAAAGAAATTCTACATAGGTGTAAAAGATCAAGAACTAAACTTGAGAAGGATGTTTTCGGAAAACTGAGATGTATTCAAGAAAAAAAATAGACCACTAATACCAACTCGTTATTTCCCAAAAGGATTTATTCAAAAATGATGCTCGTAGACCGTGTTATGAGTAGTTAAAGGAGACTGTTGTATAAAACGTTACTTTGAACCCCATATACACCCGAGATTCTATCCTTAAAGAGATGTGAAAACGTTTTCTAAAAATTTAAGTTGGATCAGGGGACACTAATAGCATCAATTTGCACCATTCCAATTTGTAATAAGACATAATATGTGGTTCTTGTTATTTCACTAAGTATTTGATGACGTCACTAACCGCGAAATATGCTTATCACCTTAGGCCTTTCGCAGTTTGTTTTAGTGGAATTTCAGGATGTCTGATTGAAAATTGGAAAGGTGCAAATTGATGCTTTTAATGCACGATTATTTTGCTTCTTTGTTGACGAATCTTGAGAGAAAAAAAAAAGATTTTAGTTGACCAAATTGAATTGCGAATACAATGTATAAAAAGATCTCTATAATAGATTAAGTAGTTTTCACCGAGATATTTTGTTATGAGTGTTTTAAATGTTTTTTTTTTCCTTAATAAAATTGCGTTTGTTTTTAAGTTCTAGTAGACTTTTAAAATAGCAAAATATGAGGAATAAACCTTGGGAAATCAATATACACTCTCTATGTACGCAAAACATACTCTGGGGAAGACAATCAAATACCTTCACTGTCGGTAGCCGCGGTGCCTCAGACACTTTCTCGCTAACCTGAAGGTCCAGGGTTCAAGCCTGGCATAGGTCACTATACCTTCGGATTTTTCAAAGCGGTTTTCCTTTGTCAGTGATGGAGTCTAGTCGTTCGAAGGGGACAATAAACCGAGGCCCCGTGTGTTACAGGCTGTGTAAGGTAAAGATCCCACGACAGTTGGAAATTGAAAAAGAGCAGGCTAATGCCGCTGTCCTGGCAAAGTTTCCATCATTACACTCTGCATGGCGTTGTCGTCTTCATTAGCCCACATAGTGCAGAAAAGTAGGACGAAAACCTCATTGTCTGAATGTTGAAACCGAATTTATAAAATAGCTAAAAGAAAATTGGTAGAAAAACATTTTTTTTTTTTAAATGTTATAGAATGTTATAGTGTCAAATTATGCAAACTATTTGATTAATTGGTGTTTCTAATGAATTATCATGTATTCTTAATCATATCATTATGTTCTTATTGCATATAATTAAGAGTTTTAACCAATCATAATTGTCCATGTATGTACAGTCTGGATAAACAAAAAAGACATTTTGACATTTCTTGATCGGTCACATATTGGTATTCTACTGGTAATTCTCTTCTAATTTAGCTAATTATGAATTTATTATGGACATGTGAGACAAACTGGTATTTTTCCAAATCATTAGAACACCTCTACTTTCTATTCATATGATTATTAGCATTTTCATTTTCATAAATGAAAATAAGAGAACCCATCTTTAACCTCAATGAAAACCCCAAAATGATTTTACAATATTACAAAAATGTATAACATGTGTGTACTAGACAGAGACATGATTTTTTTTCACAATTCTAGTTATTTTAAAGCTGGCACAACTACAAAATTTTAATCAATTATGTAATCGTTAGTAAAAAAAAAAACACATATAAAACACCATTTCGTTCCATTTAATATCTCATAAACAGAATATTAGAACCTAATGCGTCTGGAAATTTTTATACCAATGTTAGGTTATAATATAATAACACAGTGAAATTACCATCAAATTAACAATATGCAATAATATCACTCTTTATATAAACCTTAATATAGATCCTCATTATCTTTCACTTCGCTTCGGGTCTTGAAATCTTTTAGTGCGTTTACAACATACGTCCTTCGCTTTTAAAGGTAAACAGCCATATAATTTTACTTATTCCAAGATTCGACAATGATACTTATCGAGTAACCCAGTCATCTATATTCAGTTATATACGTATCTGCTTAAGCCGTTTCTTCATTTCATTTCATCGGCTCATAAAACTTTATTTCATTTCATGTACCCTATAAGGTACAGAACAGTAGGATGTAAAACTCTATTTCATTTCATTAGTTCAATAAGGTACAGAACAGTAGGATGCAAAACTCTATTTCATTTCATTAGTTCAATAAGATACAGAACAGTAGGATATAAAACACCATTTCATTTCATTAGTTCAATAAGATACAGAACAGTAGGATATAAAACACCATTTCATTTCATGTACCCAATAAGGTAGAGAATAGTAGGATATAAAACTGTATTTCATTTCATTAGTTCAATAAGGTACAGAACAGTAGGATATAAAACACCATTTCATTTCATGTACCCAATAAGGTAGAGAATAGTAGGATATAAAACTGTATTTCATTTCATTAGTTCAATAAGGTACAGAACAGTAGGATATAAAACACCATTTCATTTCATTAGTTCAATAAGATACAGAACAGTAGGATATAAAACACAATTTCATTTCATTGGTTCAATAAGGTACAGAACAATAGGATATAAAACTCCATTTTATTTCATTAGTCCAATAAGGTACAGAACAGTAGGATATAAAACTCCATTTTATTTCATTAGTTCAATAACATACAGAACAGTAGGATATAAAACTTCATTTTATTTCATGAGTCCAATAAGGTACAGAACAATAGGATATAAAACTCCATTTCATTTCATTAGTTCAATAACATACAGAACAGTAGGATATAAAACTTCATTTTATTTCATGAGTCCAATAAGGTACAGAACAATAGGATATAAAACTCCATTTCATTTCATTAGTTCAATAAGATACAGAACAGTAGGATATAAAACTCCATTTCATTTCATTAGTTTAATAAGATACAGAATAGTAGGATATAAAACTTCATTTCATTTCATTAGTTCAATAACATACAGAACAGTAGGATATAAAACTTCATTTTATTTCATGAGTCCAATAAGGTACAGAACAATAGGATATAAAACTCCATTTCATTTCATTAGTTCAATAAGATACAGAACAGTAGGATATAAAACTTCATTTCATTTCATTAGTTCAATAAGATACAGAACAGTAGGATATACAACTTCATTTCATTTCATTAGTTCAATAAGATACAGAACAGTAGGATATAAAACTTCATTTCATTTCATTAGTTCAATAAGATACAGAACAGTAGGATATACAACTTCATTTCATTTCATTAGTTCAATAAGATACAGAACAGTAGGATATAAAACTTCATTTCATTTCATTAGTTCAATAAGATACAGAACAGTAGGATATACAACTTCATTTCATTTCATTAGTTCAATAAGATACAGAACAGTAGGATATAAAACTTCATTTCATTTCATTAGTCCAATAAGGTACAGAACAATAGGATATAAAACTCCATTTTATTTCATGAGTCCAACAAGGTACATAAGAGTAGAATATAAAAGTCCATTTTATTTCATTAACCCATTAATTTACTGAACGACCTAAAATTCCATTTCATTGCATTATTCCAATAAAGTACAGAACAGTAGAATATAAAAGTCCATTCTATTTCATTAACCCAATTAGGTATATAAACTTTATTTAAAGATGGGTTCCCTTATTTTCATTTATGAAGATGCAAAATGCTAATACTTATATGAATAGAAAGTGGCGGTGTTATAATGACTTGGAAAAATACCAGTTTGTCTCACATGTCCATAATTAATTCAATATTAGCTAAATTAGAAGAGAATTACCAGCAAAATTCCAATGAGTGACCGATCAAGAAAGGTCATAAAGTCTTTTTTTGTTTATCCAGACTGTACAAACATGAGCATTTATAATTAGTTAAAACTCTTAATTATATGCAATAAGAACATAAAGATATGATTAAGAATACATGATAATTCATTAAAAACACCATTTTGTCAAAAAGTTTGCTTAATTTGACACTAGGAAAATAAGGAAACCTATCTTTAATTATTTTTCTCTTTACATTAAAATTTCTAGTCATGTAAACTAAAAGATTTAAGAGCTTTTTTCTTCCCGGAAGCTTTCAGGCTTAATAAGTTTGAATATCGCGTTTCTTCTAGGGAGGGAAGGCATGCCGACCTGCCAACGAAGGACAATGTTTCACCGATTTTCGGATACCACTGCCCGAGTTCTAAGAAGTAGGTCCGATGTAAAGCCTTCTCTTTCTTTATAAATTATAGGCAAACGGAATTGGCCCTCGGATAGCCAATTTTTAACGAGCAAAATGGAATGAAGTTGGCTTAACGAGTACGTGCGAATAGACAATTTCTTTTCTGACAGTACTAAACAACATACTGCGACTATTTACACCTAAAATGTATGAAGGGTAGTTGGGCATAACATTTCATTTTACCTAATTTTCGTTATTTTCAAAAAGTGAAATCAAAACAACACCATTATCCCTGTACCAAAAGTCAGAAAGTTACTGAAAAAAACAGCATACTAATATCGGGGAGGCATATCAAAATTTGATCCCTAGAAGTTAGAGGGGTTGGAGAAGAGAAGTCACCTACATATTTATACGATGGAAGGCAACATGGCAGAATCACCAGCCGCTGCTAGTTAGGTGTATTATTATCAATCTTTTAGATGTCTCTAGTTATTACAGCATCGCTTTCATCTTGAATATTGTCACAGGCTTGTTTTACATTATTCTAAAATCAATTAAAGGCATTAATGAAAT